ACCAGAGTCCCATAGTGATGCTCGTGACAAAAGAACCCGAAGTGACCAAGCTCTTGGTGTGAAGGCGCTTTCAATGCGCCCTAGTAAGGCTATCTGTAAGACCACATCGACTACGATCACTTCCCACATTGTCTTAGTCCACAGCACGCTGTCACTGCCTGGTCGTGTAGCGCTGGATTTAGCACACAGCCAAAGGCTCAGAGTATCAGGACCACTCCTTTCTACCATAAACAAAAAAGTTGGCGAACCTTGAGTGATGTATACCGCTCCAACTTCATTTCAGGCACCAATCGCCATTTCATCAGCGATAGATTGAGTTCAACGGATTGTTCCATCAACCGAAAAACAACGAAGTGAAACATGGGCTAAACCCTCGAGGATTTGATGGGCTACTCACTTTTTAGGATCAAATTGCTTTCGCATATCCACAAATTGTGGAATCGTCTTCCCTTGCATGTTTCTCTCCCAACCCACACTGGTAGGCAATTGATTCGTCTGAAAATATTCGCGTTACAAACAGTCACTAGTGTCTTCTCATGACTTTGCTTTACTATTTGTACCGTACACGTCATAGATGACGTACGGCATGATGAATAACAACTTGTTATTTTGGAATGAAACGGAAGTCATGCGAAGATCGCTGCATCAACCAGCTGATAAGGACAAGTGGTATTTTAAGATGTTACGTCACACCAACATGATGCCCTCTCAGCGCCCTTCAACTAGAAGTTCTTGACGACCGTCCAGTACAGATTGCGCTAGCTTATGACAATTTGGATGAGGAATGTTCTGGGGCAAATCAAAAATTCGAGGCTAAATCCAGGCACAACCCGGGCAGAATTTCCAGAAAGGCGGCAGTAAAAGGTAAGCTCCATTCCCCAAATCAATTCAACAAAGATGGCACTGATTTCGAGGCCGTTCGGCGACGAGGGAGGAGGGGGTTACCACACAAACACCAATTACCAGGCACCTCGAAGTGCTTTGCAAATGTTCACAGATTTCACCAGAGTGAGACTTGCAAACCGGAACTAGTGAATCAGCGAAAGTGCAAAATGCCCCTCCTCGTCACCGAATTGCGTCCTGTGTTGTGCCGAAAACAAATCCGAGACTTACATCGGTCTCGTCCCATGATATCTTGAATTCCTTCAGATCTTTCCCTCCTCTCAACGAAATAAAAGAGCACCACTGCCATGATCGTTTCATATATGCGACTGCAGCAACAAGATTGCGAAGAGGCCATCCTGCACAATCGGCCACTGGTGATGGATCAGCAAATACTATCTAAAAAAAGTTCTAAGAAAAAAAATTCGCTGCCTTTAAATGGAGAGTGTTAGAATCCCTGTAGAGCCACAACCAGGGGGTGAGAGGCTGTCTTCGAGCAAAATGCTCCCGATTGTTGACTTTCCTCGATTTTTCCGTTAACGACAGTATTTTTTGGGGTTAAGCATAAAAACTGGGAAAA